ACGACTTATTGGCTCGTGCTCAATGAATGAAGCCTTTGGATACGCCCACAAACAGACTGGTAACACTCAGGACTATAACCAACTTGGAAAGAGTGGTAGCAGACCAGGAGCTTCTATGGTGCAGTGGTTAGTTCACGTCTCCGAAAAGGGCGTGACGCGGGTTCAACTCCAGCCCGACGAGGTTCAACATTCTTCACATTAGCCAACATTTATGGATATATAATTACAGAGCGTCATAATAAAGCTACGAAAAGCAGTTAAAAAATTTTATCGACTAACCCTCAAAGGATTCCCGCTTATAGGAAGGCGGTGTCTGTATGTCTCTGTATGTCTGTGCATGCCCGTCCAGCTCTGTGTGTCTGCCTACTTTCCCACAAGACGCGACGCCGCCATTATAGTAGTTGAGAGAGATTTGACGTCGCGCGGCTCGGTGCAAAGCGTACCGTACGGTCCTCAGAGGGTTAAGATAACCCAGTTCAAAGTGATTCCATCACAGTCAGTTCAAAGCTGTAGGAGCGAATCCCAGTACTTCTAGCATTCAAATCGTTTATTCGTCGTCTTCTTGAATGTTGTAAAGTACAGGTTGAGCGAGCCTCCTTGCAATCTCGAGGATAGCCTGGCTGTGACGTTTCACAGGGCGTTCATTGCTGAGTGCTGAAGAGAGTTGGGGGGCGGGGGAAGGGGGGTGGAACTCGGCTCAACGCGCGCCGTGGCGAACATCACAACCACTACGCCACGGCGCCTCGCAAGCTAATCGATAAGTCAATAACTGATCACCCCCCAGCAAAACGGCAGCACTGCTCCGCAGTATTACAGTACCGGGAGTCTTTTGGCGTCGAACTTTTTGATTTGGCTGTAAAGAATGTGATTGCGGTCAATGCGTGCAGACACACGTCATCTATCACGTCGGCCTCGGCAGGGGGTGATAGATGGCTTGGGTAGATCGTTTCTTCTCTATCTTCTCTTTCATTTTGTTTTTTTCGCTTCCTATATCTTTGTAAAGTCGATTGTATTAACCCCTGAGGGTTTTTCATAGCCAGGATCCAGTTTGAATCTCCTAGGACCACCTACCTCTCTGGCTCGGCATTGATCGAATTATTCCGTTTTTCTTGACAGGCAAAGCTTTTTACTAGTTTTTTTATTGAATAGGAATCATACGATATTAAATAAATGGCCAGCATCTGGGCGATATCGCCCCATGAAGAACCAGGCTCCCTCCACTAAATAAAATGAGTCCAAAGATCGCCTAGGCGATTGCGAAATCTCATCGGGTCAGTCTGACTGAATTCACTATTTTCCCCCTCTTCTCAGCAATCGTTATGATATTCCAAACAATGAGACATTTTAGTATTGATTGACACACCGCAAAAATTCGACCTCAGACGGGGTCGAACCAGAAGTCGAAGTAGCTGGAGCAGGACCGCTACAGGAGTTGGTGTGCTAGTGGAACGCGGCGCGCCGGGGAGTAAGGGTGATTGGCGCAGGTTCAAGTCCTGTCTGAGCCCTAATTTTTGCGTCCATTCAATATTTTAAGATGTTCTATGTTTTTTCTGCTTTTTCGCAGTATTATTATGCTTCATACAAACCTAAGAGAATTGAGTGGTAAGCAGAAGTTTGGCGTAGAGAGGAGTCGAACCCGCGTTTCATCCATTCCGAAGGCGCGTGCTACCACTACACCGCACAGGCCACCGCTGCTCACCACTTATTCATCAAGATTTCTCTGTCACCAGCTATCAGCCACCAATCTTATAACAGTTTTTGTCGGGTAAACAATATCGCTCCTTAAACGCAGTCAAGCTGACGGCCGTTGTACTTGTGAAATTCCAAAAATTCTTGTGTTTTTAGTGCTTACTAGCAGTGTTATGTGATGTTATTGAAGAATGGGTGGTGAGTAAGTGGTGGCCCCTGTGGTGTAGTGGTAGCACGCGTTTTCGGAATGGACGAAACGCGGGTTCAACTCCCGTCTAAGGTCGAATTTTTTGCTTACCACTTAGTTCTCTTGAGTATATTTGGAACATCATAACGCTGCAAAAAGCAGCAAAAATATGGTGCATCTTTGAATATAAAATGATCCGCAAAATCCGCCTCAGACGGGAGTTGAATCCGCGAGTTCCAACCTAACCGCCGGGCGCGCCGCTTGCTACCACTGCACCAAGTCCTGTCGCGGTCCCTGCTCCAACTACTTCAACTCCTGGTTCAACCTCCGCTTGAGGTGAAATTTTTTGCGGCGTGCCGATCAATTTTCTGATATTTGCAAGCCATGGGGTTAGTTACGAAGAGTGAGGATGATCCAGTGAACTCGGTGTTTTTCAATAATTCAGTTTTTTTCTTTGTAAATCAGACGCGAAGTTGTTAGAAGGAATTTGTTCTAACTTCGTTTCGGGGAATCTGATTTTTCCGGACTCTGAAGAAGCCGAACTCCCTTCTATGATTTGTTAGCTATCAGAATACATAGGAAGAAACTGTGGTTTAGCTCATCCCTATGAAAATTCTTAGCTACTTGATCCTTTTTTTTCTTGCGTTATCTTTTCATCGTTTGGCCCTAACCCTTTCGGAACCGTGTACCCTGCATCTCCAACCGGCAACTCCGGACGGTCTGTTGCACTTCATCTCCACGTCTCACCCCAGCGTGCCATTGTTAGACGCAGCACGTTGGAGGTTAGAGATGCTGAGAATGTGGAGCAGACCGTTCAGAGTTTCTGGTTAAGTATGGAGAGACCGAGGGTCCACGGTCCCGAAATAGTTGGACCTCATTTGAAGTGAAATCCGTCGTTGCTCTTATGTCTTTTTTTTCATGACTTTGTCTTATATACTTAGATGTCGGCTGTGGGTGATGAACGCAGCGATAAACGGATGGAGCTGGAACGTAAAGAAGCAGAAATTGGCCGAAATGAGAGAGGCCAGAAGACGAGCCGATGAGGAGAAGAAACGGAAACTTCTGCTTCTGTTCCAGTAGAGAACGGTAATGACTTTCCTATCACTTTTCCCTATCTTCTGCACCTTACTTGATCAGTACGCAGTATTTCTTACTGTTCGGGTCCAGTACTTCTAGCATGCGATTTGTCTCACACTCAGGCTTGTTTGAGGATTTCATCTTCCTGACAGCATATTTTAAGCCTTTTTTGAAGTCTCTTATGGCACTTGTAAAGTGCTAGACACGTGTTGCAGCCTTTCAATATCATTAGTAGCACAGTTCCTTTTGGTTGAGTCAGGTCCTTGTGAAGAGATATACCCTCTACATAGAGGTATCGGCACCGAACTAATGACAATCGTCGCACGGTGAAAAGATTATTGTGGCTTCTTTCAGAGTGATTGATTGTCAATTGCATTAGCTTGACTTAAGGTTATTATGCCACTAAATACATGTGCATATATACACGACTCATATATATATATATACATATATATCTATATATATATATATATATACATATATATATATGTGCATGTGTCAACATTTTCAACCGACTATTTCAAGACCTCGCTCAAAATTAGATTGAAAATATTGATATATATGTATACATATATATGTACATTACATATCTATAAACACATATGTACGTGTGTATATACATGTATACGTACGAGCATATATGCACACGTGTGCGTGTTTATATACATATATAACTTGACAGTGCACATATACAAATGTACATATGTATGAACGCATGTGTGTACTGTATACATACATGTATATATATATATATATATGTATGCATATATACATATATATGTATATGCTGGCGTAGCAGTCGTAAGCCAATTAAAGGACAATCGGCAATCAATCGCTCTAAAGGGAATGCTACGGTGATCTTTTCACCGCACGTTGACTGTGAACAGTTCGGCGTAGATTTCTCTATATAGGAGGCATATCCCTTTACAAGGAACTGACGAACCGAAAGGTACCGTGCTGCTGATGAGACTGAAAGACCAAAACACGTCTCTAGCACTTTATCAGTGCCAATAACAGACCTCATGAATGACTTAAAATATGCTGTCGGACTTCTCAATTTGAGCGAGGTCTCAAAATAGTTAATTGAAAGTTTGGTTTTATCTTCTTCACGAACGTCTGGAACGCTGTCGAGAACGTCTCCTTGCAATCTCAGGAATAGACTGAGGCGTTCCGCAGAGCGATCAATTATCCATTGTCGGGAAGTGTTTGAACTGAGAAATCAGTCTCGCGCCGAACCTCACCAGCCACTCGATCAATCCCTTAAACAGTTTCAACTTCTTAAAAGTATTTCGTTCTTCAAAGGTTCATTCTGTAGCTCTAATTACTATAGTAAATCTATTTAGGTACTCAGAGACAGACTCTTTCCTCAACGGAAGTGCAGGAACTGCTGGCAGAAGTAGGAATTCCAACTGAACCACGATTTGAGAGGACACCGGAACGAATTAATGGGTTGAGTGATAGTGTGAGTATAAACGTATTTTCTATAAATTTGCAAACCTTAGGACATTGTTATTGAGCCTCTACCCACTAGCGCATTGTCGCCGGTTCAAGAGCCTTTTCGACTGAGTCTTGCCTCTAGGAGTAATGAGTGATATACAAAGCTTGACTCAAGACGAGAGTTAAACCGGCGTTTCACCCTCACGCATGGCGCGTGCTACCCTTAGAATTCACCGCTTTTCTACCACTCTTTTTTCAATCTACACTATAGCATCTTTCAGTAGCAAACCTCTAACGTTTTCACCTCGTAAGCAAATTTCAGCTTTGAACTTACTTACGCTGCAGCTTTTCCATATGTATAACCTTTATATAAGGTTAAGTACAAGAGGCTGTACATATGCAGTGGCTGACTGGATTCCCTGCCGCGTCTTGCTTGTCAGTTGAAGCCCCTTCAGGGTTCGTTGCTAACAACTTCGGTAGTTTATTTCGATCAAAGAGTAGTAAAGAGCGATGGTTTTGGTAGAGTAGAGGTAGCACGCGCCATCGCTATGGGGTAAACGTGCATTCAACTTTCGCTCAAAATCAAAAATACATATCACCCGACATTCTTAGATGTACATTTGCAGCTGTATAACTATGTTGAAGGTACTAAAAAATTCCTAGAGTCTAGGCTTGCTTCCTATCGTCAACCCGTTCGGGACCGTGAACCCACGCCTGAATCTTTAATTGGCAACTCTGTGCGGTCTTCTACAGCATTTCTGCATCTCTAAGCCCCAGTATTCTTTTTCTAACAAGCGCAGGCTGATGCGTCTAGCAGTGGTAGGCGGGGGGTCAGAAATGCGAACGTGCTGAAGCAGACCGCCCAGAGTTGCTAGTCAGATGTGCAGAGCCCGTGAGTCCACGGTCCCGAAATGGTCAGGTCAATTCCAATTTGATGGAAGAATATCGTAATGCAAGATAAAACGATATCGGAATTAGCTCAGTTCAATGGTATCAGGTGATATAGTCCTACAGATGTATATCTTTACTACTGAATGTTTATACAGAGATCGCTCAAGTGCAGTAATAATCTTACAACATATTTTGAGCCTTTTTGTGATGTTTGGTATAGCACTTACATACTACTAGGCACATGTTTCGCCTTTTCAGGCTCTTCCTTCCAAAGTATTTTGATTTGGATTACTTATTACGATGCTTTCTTGAAAATTCATCTTTTTTGAAAACAGGATTATAACCTTTCTCCGATGGCTTCTCAAATCTTGTCGGGCTCTCGAAGCTTACAGCTTGACTTCTCCAACGTTCAGACGATGGCCGTGCCAACTAAAGACGCTGTAAGTGTCTCATTCATACTTCGTAGTTGTTCATCTTCAATCAGTTTTTAGTTATGTATATCATTTACCACCTAATTTAGTTTTCAGAGGTGCAACTGTCATCTCAATTCATTTATCAGATCAGCTTTTGGGGACAAAACCTTTTTTTCTGTTACCAAGTAATCATTCGATAGCTGAAATGTCGGTGGTTCTGAGAATGTACTTATTTTCTAAAAAGGTCTTTCTAATCCGCTGCAGCAGTTGAAATTAACTTAAGTTTCACACTCGCGCGGTTTTTTCACTTATCTGAAGAATGTTTTTGCTTTGTAGAAATTTCTACCTTTTTGTATCAGAAGTTGAAGAAACCTTTCTCTGTCGTTCTATAGGCTTTTTATTTTCATTTTATAATGCCAAATAAACTCACTCTGAAAATTGAGCCTATGCCTAGGAATGTGGGACTTAATCTTCTTTTTGCACTTCCAACGCTCTACGAAGGTCTTCCTAGAGACCAAACTTAGCTTCAAAATCATCGAAATCATGCTATCAAATATCTCCTGAAACTCCGTTGAAAAACTGTCTGCAAACCCTAGCCGTGCAAGGAACACGCGTCGAGTGTAATACGTGATCTTATTTTCGCTGCTACAGCGTTCTAAGATTTTTTCATAGAAAAGATAGTATTAACTTCGTCAGGTTTTAGCTGTCGAATGCCTAATAAAGTAATAAAGACCTGAAGTGGAGCGGATTAAAGATCCTGTCCTCAGCGGGCTGAGAAATGGACAAACATAAAGGAATTGTACTTCTTTTTCCAAGCAGCACATGGCCTTCCTGATGTGAAGAAGCTTTGTTTTGACCTATTCGTAGCTGAAAACCTTGTAGGCTCAGTACTCAAAGACGACTCAAACAGACGACGACCGCATATCGATGGGAGAATTCAGTACAGGTAGTCAAGAGTTCGACTACGATGACGATATGCTTCCTATGGAAGGAGGTGGATTCCGAGGTGAGTTTGCCTTTGAGATGAAATTTCTTCCCGTGAGTAAAAATACTTCCCATAGTTGTTCGAGAGCGTTTAGGTCGTATTCACTCGCATGATGTTGACTCACCTATAACTGATGACTTAGCCGGGATACTACCGAATATTCCCGGATTTAACTTCGTGAAACATAAGGAAGAGGTTTCTTAAATTTATACCTTTTCTTAACTGCTGTTACAAGTTTCATGCTTACAAGAGAGTATTTCCTTAGATCGGTACTAAGAATATTTCAGCCAGAAG